AAAGAAGACAGTTGTTGACTAACTGCTTTAACTGAAATACACTTTCACCTCAAAATTCTAAATTTAGGCGTTGAATTTCTTCTTCTAGGGTATTACTATTAACCTGTGGCACTTGTTGAAAAAAACATTTGGACCTCACTGGTTACGACTTATCGCTAGAACTCCAGGAAACTCCATCCTGTAGCAAGTCACTAGCAAGCTTCAGATTAATTTTCTGTAGTTTGGTTTGGGATGGCCCTAAATCACGAAGTGGTAGAAGTTAGAATTCATGAACTGGCCATTGAATCGGGTCCTAGTGGTTTAATGGTATACGAGCTCACTGGCTTTGTAACCGGAAGGTACTGGGTTCGAATCCCATTGGGTGCGTACTGCCTATGATTCCCAAACTAGGATGAAACAGCAGCTGTCCAGTACTCCAGTGCTGGTTTTCAATGGTTCTCTAACTGATATTAATCCACGATCAACTGGTAAAAACATAACTAACCCTTACAAATCAAAGTGTAGGAAAAAACATTTTGTACAGAAAGTGAAATAATGACAATTTCTTTAAAAGACAAAAATATTTTCTGGAAAAATCGTTACTACAAAGATTTTTAGAAACTTTATGTGCATCAAATTATTAAACAGGCACAAAAAAAATTAGAAATCATGCAAATATTGTAAATTAAACAAACTGTGGTATAGAAACAAATGATTGATTGAATAGTTAAATAAATATGAAGGTGAGAATATATGTTTGTCTGGGCATTCACTCGACATTTACTTTCTTTATTTTTAAATTATAATTGTAATCAAAAATTATGATTCTAAGTTAATCGAGATTTCATTCATTGTAATAATTTCTTGTGATTCCTTCCTATAAGTGTGATGTTGGCGTTGCCTTGTACTGGTTGCTTGTGCTAGATGAAAATGGAACATACCAAGGGGAAAAATAGAGGGGTGGATGAACCAATTAGTTATAGAATCGGTGTCATTTGTATATATGTGTGTGTGGTTGCTTCTATTGCTGCATTTTTTAAATCAAAGTTATAAATGACACTTTCATCCCTGAATATATTTCATCTTTGTTCAATTTAAATTAATGTTTACTCATTAAGGCAGAGTACACCCCTTGGATGATTCTCTAAGTGTTTTAAGGATGTGGGTTTATGTTTCTCAGTTAAAGTGTATGTGCTTGTGTGTGTGTGTGTGTGTAGATGGTAAAGTCATCAAAAGTTACCTTTGTGTTTATGAAACAAATTTCAATGATGAAAGTTTCATTACAGCAATTAATATTCGTTTTATTAATTTGTTAGTTTCTCTAAAGAAGGAAATTCTGTGTGTTTTTAACATATTTTTCTAGTGTATTTCACCCTAATTAATTTGATAAATCGGTGTCAACTTTTAATAGAGTTTCAAGTAGAGAATAAAATCTAATGAATAAAACATACAGACCTTTTAATCATTCGTTTTTTTTCTTTCGTTCATATACTGTAATTAGTTTTGTCCTTTAATTCTGGTAAGATTTCCCCGTCGATTGATTGGATCGAGGCTCTCAGTCTCAAGTCGACATGTCAGCTCCTTGTACATATTCTTCGATGATGTCCAGTCATCTAACTTGAAGTCAATTGGTTGGTGGTGACTAGCAGTGGAATCCATCACTGAGTGATGCTGTTGATGAATGCAGGTACATCCAGTGACGAATTCCGAATAGGACGAAATGCGCATTCTGGATTCCACTGCTAGTCACCACCAACCAATTGACTGCAAATTTTACCCTTTGTTCACTTTACCCTGGTATTCTCTTTTTTTTCCTTCACGTTCCCTAGTGGAACATAGGGCCTCAAGCTAGTCGCTTGAAGCTTCTGTAGCAGTGTTTATTTTACAGGATGAGGTTGCTAGCCTCATGCTCAACCTTTCCTCTTTACCAGCATTATTTCTGGCTTAGCGAGGTAAAGGAGTGCCTCGTCATCCGGGATCGAACACCGGATCATTTGCATGGTCGGCGAGCGTCCTAACCACTATGCCACCGACTCTGGTATTCTCTACTAAGTAATTTCTTCGGCTACTTTTTAAAATAAGATTTTGTATGAATTCATTTGGATTATTCATATAGTCAGTGATACTTTTCATTGGTAGTTAGAAGTGACTGATACCGATGTGTGTTTGTATCTCACTTAGAAACCGTGACAAGTAAATCCGGTAACTGTCGTTTCAAAGGCTAAGTTTAGTGTAGAATACTCAAAGTTACATAACAATAGATCTTTTATTATGCTACTTCAGAGATTCGACCTACAGTAAGTGAAAGTTACAGTACACCGGGATCTTAATGATCATAAAGAAAGTTCGAGCAATAGATTCTAGAAGACATTTGGTAGTTTAAAGCCACTTTTGCCAAGTTACCATTTGTATTGCACATAACAGTATTTTAGTAATGATGTTATAACAGCAGAAGGCAAGACACGGAAGCCAAGTTATATTTTCAAGTAATCAAACAGTTATTTATATCTATACTGTTTATATTTTTCAACCGATTTCCAAGCCTGTGATTTTGGCATACACACTAAACGACAAAAAATAGCATGTTCAAATTATACATGGTATTCCGTTGCTAATGCAGTATTGATCTGTTGGAATATTATTCAGACGTTAATACCAACAAATATAATGATTTTTACTGTGAGAGTAATACTCCGTTGGAACCCATTGTCTGTATCTTAACACTACAAATGTGAGTGATTTGTGTGACCTCACTTTCAGGACTAATGACAAATATACTCGACTACATAGTAATGCTCATTTACCCATGGACATGTTAGAATTAGGATATATTACTAGATATTACTAGTAACTAGCTGTGACTGCATTCCTCGAACTGTTATGTCTTTCTGCTTTTCCAATGCACAGTATCACCAGTTTATTTCTGATTTCAGTGACTTTACAACCCCAGTTTTTCAGTGGCTTCAAAAACAGCTATATCTGTATGTTGAATAAAATATGTCGATATTTAGCTTTTTAGCTTCGTCAGTTACGATGATGTACGTTTGTGGTTCATTGGTGGAATGATCACCAGCCACACACATGGTGTGGGTCCTGTATTCCCGGTCAACGCATTCCTAATCCTCACCTAGATTACTAACTCATAGTAAGCGCGGTAAACAATGTCTGGACGTAAGGTTAGCAACCCCGCTCTTTGTAAATAACATCACCACGATTACTCAAACCCCAAAGCTCAATTTTGAAGCTTTATTTTCCCCTCGGAATAGAAAGGAATGAAAAGTAGTAGTTCTGTTAAAACACTTTAGATCTCAGTGACCTGAATGAATAAGTTCCCCACTTTATTGACTTGTTTTTGTGAGTGTGTCAAATGCACCCCTTATTAAAGTATGAGTCATTAATGATCTGCACACACATAAGTATAGCGTAGAAAACAATTATGACTTTTACAATGATTAATGCACAACTGTTACTAGGCTAGTAACAAGAAAGTAATGTCATAGAAACGTAAGTCAGTATATTGTAGACACCAAGTCTTGATGACGTAACAACTAGGCAAGTTAGCAAAATAAGATGTTGTTAATATTATTGATTATTTTGTTGTTCAATTATCTATTCTGAACCAAAATGTTTAGTTGCACTGATCTTAAGACAGTTTTAATTAAACCATATTATAGTCATCTGAGAAGAAGTAAAGTAACCTTTAGTTGAGGTCAGTGTGAATAGTGATGTCTGTTGTTACTAATTATGTCTTAACAAGGATTTATCTCATATGTGTTATGTGCTCATCAAGATTTGGCAAGGATTTCTAAAATAATTACCAATAGGATAGTTTTGACTTGTAAAACTTGTGAGGCCGTTAGGTTTTAAAAAACCCAACTGCTTCATGATCAGGCACTCAGTGACCTGACCATTCTAGTCTCGATATTCATGATGTGTATATTAATATGTGCGTCGGTGGCACAACGGCAGAGCTCTCACCGACCACGCATGCTGTCCGGGGTTCAATCCCCACCTGACGAGGCAGTCCTTTACCTCGCTAAGCCAGTAATAAAACTGGTAAACAGGATAGGTTGAGCATGAGGCTATCAATCCTATCCCAATAGTACTGAAACTTCAAGCCTCTAGCTTGAGGCTCTACGTTCCACTAGGAACATAAAGGAATAAGAAAAACATGTATATATGCGTGCTCCATTAAACTTTTAGGCTAAGACTATACTTCTATTATGTACTCCACTACTTCTAATCATTTTTTAAGGGAAGTCAATTTTTGACAAAATCCACTGTTTACAATAGTTTGCAAGTAGTTCATCGTTTACCGCTATGTCAATCTCATGAAATTGTAATAAACAATAGCCAATTCTTGAAGGGATTAATTTAGGAGTAAGAATAAAGCCCTGACAGTTATGTAGAGTTATTGTGGGGCTATCAAGCTGTACAATTGCACATAGGACTTTTGGCTTTGTGTCACCGAAATTTCTTTCTTTTCATTGTGTTTGGAATTCGAGCTTATCCATCATTCAGAAGGGCGAAATCACAGGTGATCAGATCTTAGATCTTCGACAGAGACAATTCTATATCAGTTACACTATTGATAAATCATTTATTTTATGATAAAGTTAAAAATGGGATAATTATCAGCGCAGCACTGACAACTGGTTTAGTTATCATTGTTCTTATGAGAAAGTGTTCAACTATTAGCTATTTTTTGATGCTGTATAATCGAGCATAAATAAATTGTCACCTGTTGTTATATGTAGTTCGGTTGGTGAAATTCTACAGATCTGAGTATCAACGCTTTAAGCTAGACCTGTAATGTGAGATCTCATGGAACTGTATAGGTAGTTTCACAGAGTTACACATTGGATCCATTAACGTAACTAATATTCAATATATATATATATATTAGATTTATGTGCCATTGGATATACTTCTTGATTTGACAGTACTAAGTATAAATCTTTTACGTATGATAAATTAATTACTTCGTATTATTATACCTTTATGATTGTCTTCAATTTTAGTTCCCCATACACCTCTGGAACAGACAGAAAACGTAGACGTGGAGTAAGTGATCGTTTCATTGTAACTCTTTTCATGCACGAATGTTCATTATTATTTTTTTATTATAATATTATTCCCTCAGGTTCCTAGTAGAACATATGACTTAGACAGGTCATCTCTATTTCATCCTGTTTTTGGCAGTCTTTTCAGCCGACCCAACGGTTGCCCGATATGCTGTCATCTCCTCGAATGTCAACCTAGGGCCCATGCCCAACTTGTTGTTTTCCGTTCGTGTTTCACTCAAAGGCCTGGCACGTATTTGTTTAGTGATAGTTTCTTGTTTTTATTTATCGCCAGATTTCCTTGTTTTTAGTTCTTTCTAGCCATCTGACCTTCAGTATTGAGCGAAGGTAGGATTTGATAAAAGTCTGAATCCATATTTACAACCGTAGTTGGTTACTATGTGAATTCTTATGAATGACTTTTGTTTCATAAGGAGTAGCTTTTCTTAATAGCATACTACAAACAAATTTTCGTGACCAGTGTATCTAGAGTACTGGCGAATTTATCATCTGTAAATATCAGAGTATTCGCTCAATACTACTCTAGATCAGGTGGCCGGCCAGAAAAGATCAGAAACAGGGATGGATCTCTGGCGATGAGCGAGCCAACACAGCAGGAACCGATTGTGAAACAAATAGGCAGGAAGAAATGGGGATGGATTGGCTGGCCATACTCTGAGAAAACAAGCCATCAAGTGACATCACTAGACAAGCCAGTGATCGAGTGGAATCCGACCAAAAGGGAAGCGGCTAGTTGGTCGTCAGTGCAAGGGTGACTTGGAGGAGGTGATGTGAAGAGGAGATGAAAGCATGTGGGCAGACTTGGAGCGGGGTAAAAACGTTGGCAGAGAACCGAAGGCAATGGAGACGCGCTGGTGAAGCCCTATGTTCCTCTAGGAATTAAAGGATAAAATAATAATAATAAATATCAGAGTCACTGGTAGTGTGGAGTTGTGTGATACAGACAATGAGTTTCAACGGAATATTATTCTTACAGTAAGATTCATTGTGTTTATTGGTGTTAACGTCGGAGTACCTTTCCCGCAGTTCAATACTGCGTCAGCCATAAAACAATCTATGTACTTTTGAACATTCAATTTTTCGTCGTTCAATGTGCATGCCAAAATCACAGGCTTGGAAATCGGTTGAAAAATATAAACAGTATAGATATAAATAGCTGTTTGAACATTTGAAAGTGTATATCTTGGTTTCCGTGTCTTGCTTTCTGCTGTTACAGTACTAACACTCCTTAAATTGAATGGCTTTCAATGAACTTTAACGAGTTGCTTCGTTCTATTGATTCACTTACTGATATTTTGATGAAGGGCTAACAGTGGTTTTTGTACTTTATTATATACAAAAGGATAATCTCTTTTCTGAGATTAACTTACATGACATCAATACTGATATTGAATTGTCTATGTGTAACTATTATAGTCTCAGCATTCTCACTATATGTCAAATAAAATTTCACAGTTGGTTTGTAAAGACTAGATTTTTTTATGAGTTTGAACACGGATTGATATCAGTTAGAGAAGCATTGAAAACCAGCTGGGAGTATTGGACAGCTGTTTTGTCCTGGTCTGGGACTCCTCATCAGTCAGCTCATGACGAAATCCTTCAACGAATCAAACAAAAACTCCTACAAATCCAGTACTTGAAAATAAATATGATGTGTCACTTATGAATTGCCCTATTCAGGTAGTTAACCTGGGGTTCTAGTGAGAGGCCGTGACCAGTAGGGTACAGAAGGTTGAAGATGAGGCAGCAACTCATCGGAGAAGACATTTCAAAGTGGTCGCGCTATGTCATGAATTATCAGAAGTTAGAATTCATGCACTGGCCATTGAATGGGGTCGCAGTGGCTAAATGGTCTATGAGCTCGCTAGCCTTGTAACCAGATGGTCGTGGGTTCGAACTCAGTGGTGTGTGTGCGTACTTATGAAGAGTTCCAGACTAGGACGAAACAGCTGTCCGGCACCCCAAGGTGGTTTCCCAATGATCCTCTATTCGATGTCAGCTCATAATGAAATCCTCCAAACACAAAAAATGTTTTTGTCATCCAGAGACTCTCTAACCTTTATTCATTCATTAAATCTACAATCAGATTACGTAAAGGGGTATAAATTTGGAATTTTCTAGTCGCAGATTCCATGGGAATTGATTGAATTTAACTTATAGGCATGAGCTGTTGAAATCTATCCAGCCTGATGAGTGAATATTTCCATGTAATTCGTGTGTGTGTTTTCATCATTCTATGTTTAATTTCTGTTGGGTCATTTGTGCTCACTGCTGCTAAATAGTACCAAAGTATAGTACAAAACATCTGCCAAGTTCTTTCCACTCTCTAATTATTCAGTCATCACTGTCATAGAAAAATGTTTAATTAGTAGTTACAAAGTTAATATAACTGTGTGTTTAGTAGAGCTGATTTGTAAGAATACAATGTTATTATACTAATCTTACAAGAGTTGGTTTGTACGGATTAGATTTGTCTTTACGAGTTTGACCACCGATTGATATCAGTTAGAAAACCATTGCAAACCAGCTGAGAGTACTGGACAGCTGCTGTTTCATCCTAGTTTTGGGGATCATTGGCAGTACGTAGCCACTAACGGTGTTCAAACCCAGGACCTTCCAGTTACAAGGCCAGTGAGCTCGTATACCATTCAGTCACTGGGACCCGATTCAATAGCCAGTCCATGAATTCTAACTTTTACCAATTCGTGATTTAGCGCGACCACCAACCAACCAATGTCATCAGCGGGACTAATCTTTCTTCCCAAACACTTCAAATATATATTAGGATAACAAGAAAACAGAAATTCTAAACGACAACAACAACAAATTTTGACTTGTGTCAATAAAAAATAATATTGATAAGTTCAAGGACAGTGATCTGTTTGAAGTACTACAACTGAGATATAACAATAATAATGAATCATAAAAATGTTATAATTTAATAAAAATAAAAGATTAGGAATCTCACATAGACAGATGGGAAGAATGACAACCAACACCAAACTGCCAGTTTATATTATGAATAAAAATAAATAAAATATACATATATATGGTTGGCCAGTGATAAGAAATGACAAACAAGGTATTATACTGAAACATTTTCATTTTACAAGCCATCTTGTGAATAGAGTCATTTAAGAAAAGATTAGAACAGAGTCAACTTAGAAATTCCAACTGGATTTCATATTAACAATATTTAGATAAAAATGATTATGGCATATAAAAAAAAGTGACAAACTGTCAGTGAGGTTACATGGTGAAAGTTGAGCAGAACTGTTTATCTCTATATTTACTTTTTAAATATTTTGTTAATGTAGACGGATATAAATTGAGGGGAAAAACAAAATGTTGTCAGCATAGGAACACGACATAGATGTTTTGTTTTAATTTGAGATTCCTCAGGAAAATGGACTTTTTAAACATGTCGATCTAGCCTAGGTACATCATCATCATCATCAGGTCTCATGATAAGCGAATGACCATTGAAAAGTTCTGAAGAGATATAACTGTAAATGAGTTTCATTACATCACATGCAATGATTTTTCATTGTACAAGTGGTAGGGACGTTGTGAAGTGGTCACGCTATATGATAAATTATCAGAAGTTAGAATTTGTGTACTGGCCATTGGATCGGGTCCCAGTGGCTTAATGATCCTGGGTTCGAACCCCAATGGGTGCGTACTGATGAAGAGTCCCAAACTAGGACGAAACAACTGTCCAGTACCCCCAGGGGGTTTTACATGATTAGATCCTCCAAACAATCAAACAAAATCCCTACACAATCAATACTTGTAGGGAATAATTAACCATTGATTTTGTTCAACGTAGATTTCATCCACTTTTTCAGGATCTTTGAGAGCTATAGACGATCTATGATATCTTACTGAATTCTACTCAAAAAAAAAACCCAATCAGTCGAACTAGACAGAAATCGTTATTGTAATAAAAATATTAGGAATAAACAGTTTGCTTATTATAATCAACTGTATTCAATCTTCAAACAATGTAAGAACAATACGTATTTCACTTGAAATTAATGAGATAATTTTCTTATTTAATTCATTGCATTCAGGTTATTGAAAAACGCAGACGTGATCGAATCAACTGCAGTCTGGCAGATCTTAAGCGTTTAGTACCAGATTCGAATTATAAACCGGTAAGTAGCTAACTGATTAACTGAGAGTAGTTTTCATCAAACCATTATTTCTCATGTTTTACAGAAGAAAAAATGGTGTGAATCTATTTTGAAATAATTATAATACACCTTTACGATTCATGTATGCAATGCAACCCATTAATTTAATGAAGTCGTGACCAGTAGGGTGCAGCTGGTCGGGTGTAAGGACAAATACTCGCCGAAGACATTGGCTAGCGGTCGCGCTATGTCGTGAATTGGCAGAAGTTAGAATTCAAGGACCATTGGATCGGGTCCCAGTGGCTTAATGGTATGCGAGCTCGCCTTGTAACCGGAAGGTCCTGGGTTCGAATCCCGGTAGTGGGTGCGTACTGCTGAGGAGTCCCGAACTAGAGAGAAACAGCTGTCCAGTACTCCGAGGTTTTCCAGTGGTTCTCTAACTAATGTCAGCTCATGATGAAATCCTGAAACCAATCAAATCCCTACAAACCAACACTTGAAGATTTATATATTGCCACAAATTCAAATCGTTAGAACTGGTTATTAGTTATCAATCCTTAGTTAAGTGGATTAAAGTGAAAAAATGTGAAGTTTATTAGTTGAAGATTCACACTAGTCCACACCAGTAGACTGTAGTTATGAAATGAAGTGAGGAAACCACGTAGAGCTCTTTCATTCCGGTTGGCGGGGCCCTTTAGTTATTCACAGAGATACCATCCTGAGTGTGATTACTACTTGATTCTTTCTTTCATGAGGTCTTACTGTACGTGGCAAGATTTTTTTTTACCTTGACGCGTTGCTGCTGTTAACAGTAAACCAGTAAGTTGTATCTAATCATTGAGCTTCATTTGCTAACCCTGTAAGCCCCTAAAGTTTCTACAACAGTAAATCTACCAAAACTGATCCCCACTGAGAGAAAAGATATTTCAGAATTCTTATCTTGAATTTTAAAAAAATATTTTTGGTACGTGGCATGTCAATGTGTGTTGAATGCAATAAAAGATTAAAGTGTGATCATAAATCTCCTGTCCATAGTTTATTAATCAGTGTTCAACCTTAGAAACAAAGTCTTCAGAATGATCCTACCAACAAGGTATGCATGCCTGCAAGTGTGTGTGTGTGTGTGTGCGTGCGCGGACAACAATGTCAGTTGAGACATGCCATCATTATTTTGCATAGATATTAGATAAGAAATTTTACCAATAATGTGAACAGAATGGACAGAATTTCCTTGAGATTAGTAGAAGCTGATTAGGAAACGGATCTGATCTCACCTTATGTTTGTTGTTGTTGTTGTTTTACTGATGCGATTGTTTATGTAAGGTGATAAACTAATAAGAAATTTAAGACAACAGAAGAAAAGAGATGAGAATGCTTCTTGGAATTTTTGTATTGTGATGTTAGTTACTATGATGATAGATTATGCCCTGTTTATTCATTACTACACATAATCAGTTCATTGCAGGTTGATTTACGGGTTAAATGTTTGTCAGAAGTTATGATGATGTTGATTATAGTGATCTATAGTTACCTTCTTATCTAATTTTTGATCCATCATCGTGTGTGTACACTTGTAAATGATAGATGTGAAATTCAAAAATGCGCCACAACTACACCATGGATTGATTAGAAGGAGAAACAAAATAGATGTTTGGTTATATAGAGTTTTAAGTGAAAGTATCTAGTAACCCTGACAATTGAATTTACTACACACTTTTCATTTATCTCTAAGATTCTTTACATCGGAGATTATTATTATTATTTTCCTTCAGGTTCCCAGTGGAACATAGGGCTTCAAGCTAGTGGCTTGAAGCTTCTGTAGCAGTGTTTATTTTACAGGATGGGGTTGCTAGTCTCATGCCCAACCTCTCCTCTTTACCAGGATTATTACTAGTTTAGTGAGGTGTGGGAGTATGTCGGCCGTGAATCGAACCCCGGACCATATGCATGGTTAGTGAGCGTCCCAACCGCTGTGCCACCGACGTTACATCGGAGATAATCCACTGTAATAGACTGAATCAGTGATTTAAACATTCTTCAGATTTTCCAATCTTAATCAAACTAAAGAGAACTGAATGTTTTATTTTGACAGTATGAACACCTTAAATGATTGCCTCTTAATTATCTGAGAATTAACACTGTAATGTACTTCTTCTTTGGTGCCCAACAATGGAATAAAACAAAGTGTATTATGAAAGGGGTGGTAACTAACTGTGGAGTTCAGGATACACATTTCCTTCCACCTGGAACTCCTTATCTGGATGCACCTGCATTCCCGAGGAAGTGTCGGTGTTCCTACTAAATCTCAAACGCCAAGACATCATCCACTTGACCATCCGGGCCACAGCGGCCACCTCTTGTTCAACAGGTGTCAGTTATTATTAAATAGTCACCATTCACCAAATTACTTCGAGTTAATCCTTAAACATCGTCAGAGCATCCATTCAAAGCTCTGACATGTCAACAGACATCAAACATTTCGGTCTAATCAATCATCAGGAAAATTAAAATTATTATATATAATTAAGTGTCTTTCGATCAATGATAAGAATGGTTTTTTTCCAAGAAATACGTTTGACACAATGCAGAATTCTAAGCATGTGGCGCGGTGGTTAGGACTCTCGCCGACCATGCACATGGGCCGGGGTTCGACCTCCTGCCGACGCACACCTGATATACATGGTCGGCCTGCAAAATTTTGGGCTACCGATATCACATGCTGAAAATGTCATAATTGTACCAAAAATACGGCGTGGAATCAAGCTGTAATCAAAATAATAAATAAATAAAAATAAAAATATTGCATCTTATTTCCTCGTAACTTTACTTAGTAAACAGGATAATTACATTGATAACAATGTCAATATTAACATAAATGTAAAATTAGGATTAAAAATTAATAGGAATTGTGACAACAATATATAAATGGCAGGAAGAATAAGATGGGCTATTTAGCCAGTGTTTCGCAGTAGGTTGGTAGTTTCTTGCCTAAAACGTTTCTCATCACATTAAGTTCGTTTCAGTTAGGGTATCGTAAAATTTTCCCAGGTAGTCGTCTGACCATAAAGTCTTTTATAATTGCTTCTAGATACACCTGATGAGATACAAGATGAGAGTTGTGTTGTATAGAAAGGGTGCTCTGAGTTTGACAACATGATATTCGCCAACTTCTAGCATGAGTTCAGATTTAACAGCATCCCACTTGTCCTAGTGACAGCTTTTTGTGCTCTTCTCAGTGCTAAAAAAAGTCTTTTTTTAAACAGTCCAGGGAAGATTAAGGGAGGGGGAGCAATAAAGAAGAAGAAATAGAATACAAGAATCAAGCAGCTGTAGAAGTAGAGACTTAGGGGCACCAGATAGTCTTAACTTCCTTACGTAGAAGGCTAAACGAAATATCTCTCTCTACAAATTAACATGATGTAGAAAGATTAGGAAAGATCACAGAGATGACATAATTTAAGGTATTTAACACTCGATTTTCTTTCAAATTCAGCGCCTCAGTCGGTCACTATTACAAACTGTTGATGATTCCTAAAACGTAAAATCTCAGTGTCAGTTAGCATAAAACAGATGAAAGAAAAGAAATTGATGGTGATAATATTGTCTTGTCCGTTCCAGAAGTTCATTTGCAAACCAACGGATTACATCTAAAGGCTAAATATTCAAATAAGTGACAAATAGATCTATTTCAAGAGAAGTGGTCTTCATAGCTCACTAGATAGTAGTGTCTTGTTATTTGGAGTGTAAATAGTTTATTGGAATCATAGTGATGTGATACAAAAGCAGATTTTAAATACAGCTCGTAACATAGTATTGCCCTACGGTGGAAACTAAAATCTAAGGGATTCAAACAAAGGAAAATATATTAATTTATTGGAAGGGTAAATATATTCTTAAGTAGTTCCCAGGATCTGTTGTGAAGTGTATATGTATTAGACGACTTCACAGATCCTGTCTTAAAAACCCTAAATGTTCTTTTAATTGAAAGGATCAAAGAAATAGGTTTACTCTATTGAACTGATATCCATTAGTCGTATCATTATTTATGATGGAGAATGCATAAACTAAGGCAGATTACTCAAAGCAGCTATTTACCGATATATCCTGATTAGTGGCATACTAAAAACTAAAAAATATCCATCAGAACCAAAGTATATGTCCTCCAGGTTGCGTACTGACGATGTCCCTACTAATCTACTGAGCGGCGTGACCTTATTGTCTGACAGTTTCGGCCACATTTACTAAACAGAGTTATGCTGATGTTTCATACTTAAATTTACAGTTTAAACACCTCGTTTCACCTTCTACAGTTAATCGTCAATGTTTATCTGCTAATTAGAAAATACCATTCTATATGCATATGAAAAAAGATAACCAGAAGATTCCTAAATCTTCTATATTTTGGTTTGTAAGGGTTAGTTATGTTTTTATGGGTTGATCACAGATTGATATCAGTTAGAGAACATTGAAAACCAGCACTGGAGTACTGTACAGCTGTTTTATCCTAGTTTGGGAATCATCGGAAGTGCGCACCCACTGGAGTTCGAACCCTAAACCTTCTGGTTACAAGGCAGGCTAGCTCGTATACCACTCAGGCACTTGGACCCGATGAGTTCTAACTTCTACCAAATTAATCTGATGCTCTGTAGTGACTTCCGACAGGATGGAGTTTCCTGGAGTTCTAGTGAGAAATCGTGACCAGTCAGGTCTACCCACATGTCACATGGATGTCCCACCGACAACATTAGTTAGGGTCGCGCTAAATCACGAAGTGGTACAAGTTAGAATTCATGAACTGGCCATTGAATCGGGTCCTAGTGGTTTAATGGTATACGAGCTCACTGGCCTTGTAACCGGAATGTCCTGGGTTCGAATCCCAGTGGGTGCGTACCTCCGATGATTCCAAAACTAGGTTGAAACAGCAGCTGTCCAATACTCCAGGCTGGTTTTCAATGGTTCTCTAACTGATTCCTAAATCGCCTAAGAGTCACTTAAATGCAATGAGAACTGAGGTGTTACTTAACAACTACTTCCAATTTCATACAGTTGACAATGAACCACACCTATTACTTGACGACTAGGGATACAACTTGGCTACCTAAACCCTGGTAGATGGAGGGGTTTTTGGAGTCCATGACCGACTGATTAGAAGTTAAGCACCTAGTCCGGTGAGTCACAACTCCGAAACATTAACTCATTAACATTCCATCTCATAATGATTGTGTATGCATTCTCGAGAGTAATCACGAATCCGGTAGTTCAGCAATTTGTCAACAAAACCAGTGATTAATACGACAGTAAGGAGTCGTTCAAGACAAAACATAAAACTGCTAAATTTATAGATTTTGATTACACCACTTGAAGTCAGTAGTGGAAATGCTGTCTGTTTAGGAGCAATTCAACGTCCAGCTTTTGGATAATTAGTTAACTAAATACACATGGAAAAGATTTCAATGCATTAAACGTCTTCTACACCATTAATAATAATAATAGCAGTCAGCTGACATTTCTTCGTTAACTAAAATCAACCATCAATAAAAATGTGCATTATTATCACGTACACATTTTTGTGCATAGAACTCAGTCAGAACTAAACTAATAATGATTAATGTGAAAGGTATGTTTGCATTAAAAAAAAAAGTATTGAAAATTTATATAATTATAATAATCTTTATGAAAGAAGTACACCTGCTCACCATGGTAGCGCGTACAACTGAGCAGCTGGTCTGGAAGGTAATATGTGTGTAACTAAGACATATTTCGTCTTTGCTGTCTCCTATACCACAGTCTGCATTTACTCTTTCATATATTATCCAGAGGTTAAACAAGAACTTTTATGATCATATAAGCTTAGATTAAATATTTCTCTCCTTACTTAAGTTTGAGCAGACATATTGTCTTGGCTTTCTCACACCTTTAAGCATAGGCATGAGAAGCGAAATGCTCACACACACACACAAATATGTATGGACTCATATATATAAATTCTTTCTTATTAACATTCCTGGGGATGAATGTCTTCTACATTGAATAAGAATGAGAAGGTGGGGGAAGAAGAAGGGAGGAAATAAAATTTGACATGACTGTTAGAGGAATAGGGAGAATATAGGGATAAATAGGTGTATGAATTCGAAGGAGAAATATATCGTCATTGTAGTAAGAAAATAAATTGCTCAAAAACCAGATGAAGACCTTGTTTTCGAGTTGAACCAATTAAACATTTTTATGTGTGTATGCGTGTGTGTGTGTGTGTGTGAGGGAGGAAGAGACAGTGGGGTAGAAGGAACAACAACGTAGACATATAACTAATAGGGTTGAATATTTACTTATCTAGTTATGTCTTTCTTTTTACTCGAGTTTTACATTGATCAGTTCCTAATTAGAGTATGAAAAGCCACCTGCAAGACGTGTAAACAATCTTTCAGTTGAAAATTTGAACTTTGATCTGTATTCTAGGTTTTTAAATAAATTTTGTTAACCTTCTAATTTTTATAATGCTTTTAAATTATACGAAGGCTTTTAAACTTTACCTTCGGAAAATCCTGTGGAACTAATTATATTATATATCTGCAAATGCTTTTCATCAGTTAACAGACAATTTTTGATGCTTGAACTAGAATTTTCAACTCTCTAAGGTTAGGTAGTAGGATAGCAAAACTATTTCCTTCACAAAAATCATGAGTAATCAGTCATCATATACTCTTACCATTCATCAGTCTGTCAGAAGGTGAAAGGATTGAGAACGTCCCATGTCGATGAATCGAAATGGTTTGACATATAATTTCTATTTAAACATCTTATAAAGTGAGATTTCACCTAGTGATCTTGGTGGTAAAAAGTTAACATTAGCGAGTATCAGCGTTACAGTATATGTAAGATGACTGTCAGTGACGATGAGACATTTAAATGCTGGTCATCCAAATGAATCCACAGTATCCAGCGTAACTTAATTGTATTGTAACAACAAAAGACAAGGGTCAGGAAACAGATCGTTTGTTTACGAAATCAACACATATTTATAGATTTTCATGTACATTATTATAGATTATTGTTAACAGAAAAACTCGGTCTTCTGATTGGTTGTTTCTCACAGAAAGTTAACCTTGCATCTCTTTGTGACTGTTTCTTGAATGTCAGATCATCTATATGTTAACTGTATCCGCCCACGCAAAGCCTTTGTTCTCATTTTTCTCATGACGAATACTGGGGACATAAACATTGACGTAAATTACTGTCCACCAATTTTGGCTAACAGTCAGCTCTCACCACAGTATTATTAACAGGCTTGATTTATTTTAATTCACCTAATTGGAACCGATCATCCCATCGTTATTTTTGAAAAAAAATATTTGATTCCTTTACTTTCCAGTGGAACATAGGGCTTCAAGCTAGAGCTTTGAAGTTGCGGTAGCGGTGGCGTTTACCTTTACGAGATGCAGTTGCTAGCCGCATGTTTGGCTTTCCCTCTTTACCAGTTTTATTACTGGCTTAGTGAGGTAAGGGAGTGCCTCGTCGGCCGGAAATCGAACCCTTGACCACGTGTGTCGTGGTTAGCGAGCATCTTACCGCTATGGCACCGACGTATATCACTGTGAATAGCAGATTTATTCTATGGATATTTTCTTTGATTTTAACTCAGTGGTACTGGTTGACAGACGATTCTAGCGCTGGTATCATATCGTATATGAAAATCATTAGACAGACTCTCATTTTAGATTTCCTAGTGAGATTCAATTTTGGGACAAATAGCCATTTACGACACAGCGTTTTCCACCATGTGACTGTTGTTGCCGCGTTTATCCCCACTTTGTATATCAGAATTGAGGTTTTTCATGACTGATTTCGAGGACCTTTCAAAATAATCTAGACATATGCTTCGGGATCACCGTGGAAAGTTTAATTTATTCCTTGCCTTCCAAGTGGAACACAGAACGACTTCAAGCTTTGAAGTTTTACTAGTAGTGATGCTGCTTTTTACGGTATTAGGCTGCTATGATGACTCCCAACTTCCTGTATTTTTTCCAAAGCTTACTATGAGTTAATAAACTAGACGAGGTTTGGCAGCATGTTGGCTGGGAACCGAGCCCACATCCTCTGTCTGGTTGGCGAGTATTCTACCAATGAACCTCCAGCACACAAAAGCTATCACTAAACATTATTATATTTAATGTCTTTGTATTTATATATATATTTTGGGAATGCGATGTAATATACATGGATTAGCCAACATATAGTAAACTATGCGACTTACAAATCTTGGGATCAGAATGAAGTATTTTAATCTGGTTTGCAATTTGGTCATTATGATGAATACAATTGAAACGTTGAAATTTGGAGAGTTCTACGGAGAGATATCCAGTACTTTAACGTCTACTACTCTGAATTGTAGGGTAACGTAAGTTTTAGTGCATAGTAAAACATGAATGACTTCATTGAATTGATAATTTTTAGTAATTCTGGGCGGCCTACTATTAAAGTTCCCATTTTTATTTTATTTTATAGGGTTCAGCTAAATTAGAAAAAGCTGAAATACTCCAGTTGACTGTTGAGTTCCTACAGAAACTTCATAAAGATGGTGAGTAAAATTAAAAACTGTTCTTTTTTTCTCAGTATTTATCTGTGTGCTAATAACATGATTAATAAGCATATGACTTCTTCAATGCATTTGGAGGAGGATTGTAGAAGACTGACAGCGAATGGGTAGCTGTTCTACGTATTATGTAATTACCCGTAAAATTATGAATGTATTTGACAAGGGCTTGCCAAAGTCCAGCGACCCAAGCGAATGACTAGCCAAATGACTTTGGACAACCAATCAAATGTGTTTTACTGTAAATAGGAGTAAACACGGATAAAGTGTAAATCTCACCCTCATCTTGTATTTCAATACCGCTTGGATAATAGGCTTTTAGAAAGGAGTGAAACATGCCAATGTGAAGGGACTAATGGCCTTACAGAAATATGCAGATACCATTAATGGATATGCATATAGATGTCATGTAAATCATTCCTATGATTTTGTTAATCTGTGGATGGGAAACACATCAGTCTCATGAATGGATTCTGGGGGCATATGGAAAGTCATTAGGGAGATAAATAGGTCAAGGAATGATAGAATATACCATCATCTCTATGGAGTCATGTACAGAAATTGGTGTGGACTAACATCGGGAGATGTTTTGAGGGCATACACAAGATTGCCATCCCGTATAATTATTTAGTACTATTTATTTTTGTTTTCTGTAAAATTTTCCCATTCAAATAACACCCCTAAGATCATTTCGCTAGTAGTTCTTTTGGGTCGCTAATATTTTCGTCTAGTCAGAAGTTATTGTCAGTCAGGTGATAATCACCCTTGATGCGAATCGTAAACAAATGGCATCATTCTGTATTCTTAACATTAAGTGAATGTTAGGTTTATTTTGTATATTTTAGCTCCAAATCACCCAATGAATAAGCCATTTACTAAGTATTTCTATAGGATTGGAGAATGTAGTTTTTTTGACAGAGGGCACGTCAATAACTTAGTTTTATCATCTGAGTCTTGTACAAGAGCATGAAACATAATCATTCTTGTCAAAGTTATGAAGTCAAATGGTGTAGTCTGCGTTTTTAAACGCCTATTCTTTCAAATTTTGTGATTAGATAGCAACAAGTCTAATAAAAGTATAAGGTGAAGTTGCATTTATAGCTTGAAAGTCTATGGTAGAGATACGGCTAATTGGCTTAAGCCTTCAATTATCAGCCAGTGGGACCTGCTTCACTTGCTACAGTGTAGCTCATATCCCTCTGCATGTAAAATTTGTCCCAGCTAACTGAGTTCCAGCTGGTCTATAAGCGTTGCTAAACTAACCGGTATCTGTTAAAAGGTAATGCACAATTACATTAAGATTAATCGTAGCTTTATAAACAAGGGAAATGCTGATAAGGTTGAAGCACAAACAAGAAAGGGAAGTGGAAAATATAATCTTGTGAGCAAAACTTAAATATAAAGTAATCAATTGTTTGCATGAAGGATTTCATCATAAGCTGACATCAGTTAGAGAACCACTGGAAAACTGGGAGAACGAGACAACTGTCCCGTCCCAACCTGGGAATCCTCTTCAGCAGTACGCGCTCACCGGGGTTCAAACTCAGGACCTTCTGGCTACAAGACGAGCTCGTAGACCATTGAGCCACTGGGACCCAATCCAATGGCCAATGCATGAATTCTAACTTCTGCCAATTCATGACATAGCGGAACCATTTCGCAATGCCTTCTCGCCTTGTAACCAGAAGGTCCTGGGTTGGAACGCCGGTGGGTGCGTACTGTTGAAGATTCCCAAAATAGGACGAAACAGCTGTCCAGTACTCCAGGTTTCCACTGGTTCTCTAACTGATGTCAGATCATGACGAAATCCTCCATACAATCAAACAAAATCCCTACTAAACCAATACTTGAAAATTAGTCAGTTGTTGTTTTCAAGAGCTGGCTTGTAAGGATTAGATTTGTTTTTCTCGAGTTTGATCATGGTTTGATATCAGTTAGAGATAACTATTTAAAACCACCTGTGAGTAATGGACAGCTATTTCATCCTAGTTTTGGAATCGTCGGCAGTACATACCACCTCCAGCAAGGGTTCGAACCCAGGACCTTCCGGTTACAAGGCCAGTGAGCTCGTATACCATTCAGCCACTGGGACCCGATTCAATGACCAGTGCATGAATTCTAACTTCTGCCAATTCGTGATTTAGCACAAGCACTAGCAATGTGATCGGTGGGAAATTCATCTTCACACTTGACTGGATGGACCTCAGGAAAGTAAATCGAATTTCTGAAGTTTCATTCAGTTGTGTACAATGAGTGTATTTAGATACAGTTAATCCTAGGTAATAAACTTGGATTAATCTTCCTTCTGCCATCAAAATCTCAATCGTTCTCTTTAAATAATAAACAGGTATGACCCAATTTTCTCTGTTGTATTTGAATTTCATGGGAATCAGCTGACTTTAACGAATCAAAGCTGAAAATTAGTTAAGTGTCATTAATTTTCCATAAAGGTTTTTAGCATCTCCAAGTATACTTACCTCCGTTTACTTTGGGTATGTTTATTATTTCTTTATTCAAAAGGTCATGTACTTAACTCAGAAGCACGGGCTGTTGAATTACGTCGTATTGGATTTAAAGATTGTCTACTAGAAGTAACCCGATTATTATCAACATACGATGGTGTAAATATTTCTGGTCAAGAGTTAACACGACACCTACTAAGTCATCTTTATCAATGTGAAAAGCAGAGAGATTCAGAGGCAAAAACTTATTTAGCTAATATTGCTGCTGTTGCGAATTCTATGCTGATACAAACAGGCACCTTAAATCAAACTTCTACAAAGAATACACAATACTCTCAACAACAATATTATCACACTCTTCAGGGGAATTATATCTCAAACGAGTTGAATAACTCAAATGTCACAAAATCAAAATCCAGTAAAATCAATTCAGGTGTTTGTGAACATGCAGAACTTAAGTTGAACAAACTACCGACAACAGATGCCTCGCTGAATCCTTCACAAATTAAATTATCTCATCAGACCTATCATCCATATACTAACTCATCATCAGTATCATCAACATTCTACACCAATGGTGGTAATAACTACACACCATATCATCATTATACAGACTATCATCTACTAGAACAACAAAATCCATTCAAGCATACACTGAAAGTGGAGGAGAAAGGATCTGATCAGTTATCCAACTTTTATTTTCAATCAGATTCACTTTATCCTAACTATGTTTATGGCGAACAGTGGAATAAACATTTAGCGTATTCTTCTTCTTCTGCCTATTCATCCACACCATCTACACTGTCTGATGTTATCACATCAAACTATGTGAACAATAATTTTAATCCACTGTCTAACTCGACATCTGTTTCTTTCAGTAATACAGTATATCCTACTACTACAGGTATGGGTCCAAATGAAAGTCAGTCGACTTCATCACCACCATTTCGTTCAACACCGGATGATTCAGATATTGGTTTTAGTCCACATTTAAAAAGCAATCTATCAGGAGTTATTGGTAATGATGAAATCGAGGAGGAATGTGGTTATTCTACACGTGAATGTACTGGTCATATGACAGTAACATTGACATCGTCTACAACAACAATGACGACACCTTCAGCAAAAACAATATCTGCAACAAATTATCCACAGTCCAACTATCATAATGATTATGATTATACTTATCATAGAAAGAATGATGTTTGCATGAATTTATCCGCTGATTATCCATGTTCTCCTGTTAAGTTGAATTCAATGCCTATACACACCGGTGATGTATATCCGAGACATTTAACAAATACCTACAATAGTAACAATAATAATAATAACAACAGCAACAACAACATTGACATGCTTTATCCAAGTTACACAAATGAATCATGGCGTCAAATTAATACAACAACAGACTTGGTACAGCATAAAGATTATGCATTTCATTCACATCTATCAACTCCTGCATTACACATGCATGAACATAGAAACCCATCTACTCAGCCTTATTCAGCAAATACCCTGGATGTCGACACTGCACCTGTTACTGCTAACACTATTCTGGAGGGTACTTGTGATAAAAAACTGTTAGCAGAATAAGAGAATAAAGATAGTAAGTAATGTAGGGAAAGAATTAAGGATCAGTTTTTTGATGATCCGATCTTAGGCTATATGTATATCCTGAAAGATGCTTCATTTATGATTCATTCACACAACAAGGAAACGTGCAGAATATTACACAACCCCCCGCCCCCCCCCAAATGTATAGTCATTTCATGTGTCATTTTTAAGACAAAAAACAAACACTACTCACCTTTCTTATTATTAATATAATTATTACTTCGAGTATTGTTTATTTCCAGAAATGATATACTCGAAATTGTATTGTAAATTACCAAAGAAGTGCATTGATACACACATATATTATAAATGCATGCATCTAATTTTCATAATGAATTCCCTTTTATTTGTGCTAGAAATTATGTTCGTGCACATATATGTGGAGTCTTACAACCTCAATGTACATTTTTTTTTATTTATTTGTAAACTCGATACACAATAAGCAGTTACTTTCTATTGAAATTTTGAGTTTTCTACGGAATGACTTTTTTTATAGTAGGATAGAAAGCTCCTAGTACGGACACTTCGACAGTGTCTTGAAGTTAGTAGTGGTTAGCAACAGAGATTGAAAAATAATTTTTATAAACGACAAGTGACTCATTTGCGTTGGTGGCACAGCGGTTAGGACTCTCGCCGACGCACACCTGATATCTATGGTCGGCCTGCAAAATGTGGGCTACCGATATCACATGCTGAAAATTTCATACTTGTACCCAAAATACTGTGTGGAATCAAGCTGTAATCAAAATAGAAAATTAAAAAAAATATGACTTTCATGGCTCAGCGGTCTAATGAATAAGGCTTTGGTATTTGAAACGCCAGGTGATAGGATGGGCTCGACTTTCGTTAGAAATAGCCTCCTTCACTGGGATGCGGTTACATCCGGCTTATACCTTGAAAAAAAAGATTAAACGCTCGTTGGACACAATTATCCAAATAATATCAAAAGGTTATGTGTAAGTTATGCGATACTGTTGGTATTCAGAGTATTGCAAATTGCTGTGTGTAGTATTAAAATCAAATAAGACTGTGATTTTTGAGTATATTTCAGTATGAAATGAGTCAATAAAGATCAATGCTTTTGTAAACAAAACACGTGTTTCAGCGAAGAGTGTCTTTTCGGCAAATTCATTCACACTTAACTGTACAGTCGCAATTATATTGTGGTGGTGGTGTGATAAAGACAATGATTTCCCAAGGAATATTATTCTTACATTCAATAGTGCATTAACAACAGAATACTATGCACATTTGAACATTATCACTGAGCTGATAGAGTTCATTCTGAACCAACCAAAGGACTCGACACATTACACTATTTACTAACTAGTGTTTAATTAAAAGAATCCAGTACAGTCCTGAAGGAGGTTTATCGCGAGCCAGAGTAGGTCAATGGTAACGTCTCTGACTGCAGCACTAACGGGGTGACGTGTGTTTGAATCTCAGAAGGAACATGAGTTGCTTCAAGGTTGCAGATACGCCTTGCTGACTATTGGTGAGTGGCAACTAGCAAGACACCTAGGCTTCAGCTATAAATTAATTGGGGATTTCAAAACCGACATTCTGATTATATATGCCTTACAATTCGCCATAATATAAAGTTTTAGAAATTTTTGTGCCTAAATTCAAATGCAGTCACACGTCTAAGTCATTTCTAATAATAACAGTTTCATTATGAAAATTTCGTTTGATACATAGTATAGAATTTTTAACTTGTTCTATTGCCTTGTAGTTACTCCTTGTAAAAGTTGTTCAATTAGTATAATAATCGATAATGCATCACGTGGAACAATGTTGTTCCATCCAAAGCATGCTCCATTACTCTGAGTAGTTTTCCCCTCACTGACTTCGAAAAATTCCTAGCAGTAGATTAAAAACCATTTTAGATAATGTGCGTGATGGTGGGTTACTACTCATGAACGTAGATCAATATTTAAAATGATATAAAGTGCAGTAAATATGATGCATTTTGATTAGTGGAAAAGATTTGGTAACTCAGAGATTTAGGCAGGTCGCCGACATATTCACCTCCTTAATCATAATTCTTGGTAATTATGTAATACTGCTAGTTTCCCACTATTTATTACTTAATATATTTTCTATAGTTTCGTTTGTAGGGATTAGATTTGTTAATACGAGTTTAACCACCGATTGATATCATTTAGGGATAACCATTGAAAACCAGCTGAGAGTACTGGCCAGCTGTTTCATTCTAGTTTTGGGAATCAGTGTCAGTACGCACCCACTGGGATTCGAACCCAGGACCTTTGGGTTACAAGGCAGTGAGCTCGTATACCGTTAAACCACTAGGACCCGATTCAGTGGCCAGTGCATGAATTCTGACTTCTACCAATTCGTGATTTAGCGTGACCTCAACCAATGTCAATCCGTGATCAATTCGTAAGAACAAAACTAACCCTTACAAACCAAACAATAGAAAATTAATCTGATGCTCTCTAGCGACTTCCTACAGGATGGAGTTTCCTAGAGTTCTAATGAGAAGTCGTGACCGGTCAGGTCCATCCAGATGTCATGTGGGAGGATGGATGTCCCATCGACGACATATAACTGTAAAAGGGTGATTCAGCGACATACAGGATACATACCTTCATCAACAGTTATCCTCAATCCGTTATAAAAGTCTAATGGCCAGGAAGAATGAGCAAAACGGAAACTTGGCAGTAGACGAGTCAACAATCTGTTGGTAGATAAATATGGGGGGTGGATTGGACGTACGCTAAGGAAACCTTTAAGTGATGTCACACTTACGACAGGCCGCTGAGTGGGACCCGAATAGGAAGCAATGAGTTGGGTTCGGGTTCCAGGATGACAAGAAGGAGATCATGTGAATAAGAAATAGAATTCTGTGGGCAGTGGAGGTCTATCATAGGAGTTCTATGTTTTACTTGGAAAGCAAATAATGAATAATCACAATCATAATTTTTTAACGGTTGGCTTACAGGTATGTGACTTGTTTCAGGTTTGATCACAGATTAATGTTAGTTAAAGACCAGCGGGGCCCACCAGTTTGGGTATGAGAAGAGATTATCGCGAGTAACATTGGGTGGTGGTTGCGCTAAAATCACGCATTGTTATAAATTGGAACTTATTGGCCTTTAGAATCGGATCTCAGTAGTTGAATGGTCCGGGAGTTCACCTTGTGACTAAGACATTTTGTGTTCAAATCCCGGCAGATGAGTACTGCTGAAGAGTTCCTAACTGGAACGAACCAGCTGTCCAGTACTCTGTAGAGTTTTTCGATGGTTCTCCAACCAACATTAGTCAGAGGTCAAACTCGGGACAGGCAGAATCCATACAAACTAACTCTTGAAAATAATCTAATGTTCACTAGTGACTAACTACGGGAGGCAGTTGCTAGAATAAGGGGATAACAGAATACACTGATTGTGGTTTAGCAAGTTTTCTTTGAAATGAAAATCTTATGAAAGACAAAAGAAGCTGGAAAAAAGTCTATAAGATGACACTGTTTACTGAGTTATTGAAGCATAAGAACATTTCACAAATCAAGAGAATTCGGGTTGAAATATTACACCGAATTTAATGTGGAAGCCCATTAAAAGACGTAAGTAAAACAGTAGACAATATCAGGATAACGGAAAGTTGAGTACACTTTTTTCTAAGTACTAAGAATTGTTTTGGAGATATTTGATTATAAGATTTTCCGCTAAGAGTGTATATTGGAAACCACTCACTGCTCGATAACCCTGGGTAATTGAAAGACATGCGTATATTATTTTAGTTGTCACTAAGACGATTATTGCATGGACAGTAAGTGATGTTAGTTCTTCGTACATACATACATACTGAAAAGTGTGAAACAAAAACTACAGGACACAACTACCTTAGATACTTTTCCTGTACATATATATATCTTATCTGACAATTCAGGTGGCTAATTATAGTAAGTAAAAATACCAGAAAATGAACACACCTGAAATGACGAAGTAGCTGGATGAATTCATTCCAGCATCAGAAAAAGATGGATGAGATAACTGGTCAAAACTAATCTGTAAGGCATTTGACAGAAAGTTGGAAACGTTATTACTTACAAAGGTTCTGTCACTGCGTACATGTATACAAACAAACAAAAATGAATAACTTTGCTACTTGTGGCTCATGAAAATTCCCATCTATACAAGTATATTTATTATTCAACTTTTCATTTTTAGGTAAATACCCGAAAAATACTTTGTAAAAGCCTCTGATACAAACATTTTATTTTCTCCAGGTTTTGAATTGCCACTTTAGTCATCAAATTGTAAACAGTATCTGTCTTTGTCGAGTGGTACTAACCATAAATGAAGTACTATCGATAACTTAAGTAAAACTTTGATCATTTCAAAATCGACCACGATTTATATATGGTAAAGCAATACTCATACAATACTGAAATTGGGTTTCATACTTTTAAAATGAAAGTCCTGTTAAAATTGCTGAGTTCCCGAAGAACTCTTCAAGTTAATAAATGTCTAGACTCCGTGAGTAATCATATTCTGAGATGAGTTACCAAAGTCTTAATGGATTCAATCAATGTAGATAGTAGAGCATTCCCACACTACTGAGTAGTGGGTGTAAAAGCACTTATGTAATATCTGTAAGTTGCTGGTTTTACTTCAGGTAGACTTTAATCAACCGCACTTACTAAAGATTTCTCCTCTTATAAGCCTAATCAGTACTGAGTACCTAACGTGTAGGTACCGAGTAACGAACTCGAAGTAAAAAGGCTTGTGACTTGCTAGTGTACCCTGCTAAGAATAATATTTTTTACCAAAGATGAAATGTCAAATTAAGTAAATAAGAATATTTTACAATTTATCTGAAGTGATGTGGAATAGCAGGCTCGAAGAGTGTGCTTGTAGGCAGCACAGCGAGGCAGCGTGAAAACGTAATGGCGTCCAGACAAAAAAACGTATGTTGTAGCGCCCATATTGCAAGTAAACATTAAAATAAAAACTGAA